AAATCCTCCATGCCATTCCCAGCAACAGTTTAACCCACTTTTACTCCATACCCAGCAAGGAAACATAGACTGAGATTACAGAAATGATTAGATGAGGGGGTGGGGAGCATTTGTAAACAACAAGACAATGCAAAGGAGTTTCACTGGATTTAAGGTTCCAAAAATGGAAGTGGTTTAACCCATTGTAGCCACCCATCTCTACTGCAGCTATATTTTCAGTGCACTGGTTAAATGAAAGCAATTGTATTAAATATTTGCTACATTGCAACAAATTCTCATAGAAAAATATTTTTGGTGCATTTTCTTCATGCCAATCAAGAAAGACGAACAGTAAGCAGTAAAGTTTATAAAGTATCTTTCAGAATCTCCCAAGTATATTAAAGCCCATTCAGTACTTGTTGAAGTGTAGATGGTCACTGTTGCGATGTAGGGAAAGTGTTGCCCAATTTGCATACAGTAAGTGCTTACAAACAGCAATGGCCAGATCATCTCTTTCTAAAAATGGATATTGATGCTGTTTTCAATTTTAAACCTGAGCGGGGTTTTTGTTACACAAGGGTATTAGGGAAATGTGGGGCAAAGGTCAGTAAATGGGGTTGGATGACATGATCTGATTTAGTGTCCAAACAGGCTTGAGGGTTGAATAAACTCCTCCTGTTCCCATGTTTTTTCCAAAATTATGTTCAGGAATTCTTAGGTGCCTACTTGAGAGGGTAGACAGGGTTACTTAGTTTGCTTTATGTGTTAAATGCTTTGTACATAACAACACTGAGTGTATGATATTTAAGTAGGGCAGTTTAGAACTGTACACGACCCTGGTGAGACCAGATCTGGAGTACTGGGTACCGTTTTGATCTCCTATTTGAAAAAAAGAGATGTAATTGCTTTGCAATCAGTTCAGAGAGGGTTCATTTGACTCATTCCTGGGATGAAAAATTTATCTTTATGAAGAAAGATTGAGCAGGTTGAGTTTTTACACATTGGCAGTTAGGAGAATGAAACCAAAAAGATTCTGAAGAGTGTGGATAGGGTAGATACTAGGAGGATGATTTTTCTTGAAGGGGAAACTGGAACTAGAAAATTAAGAATAAGAGGCGTCCTTTACAACAGAGACGAAAGAATTTTGTTCAGATTGTTCAGTTGTGCGATTCTCCTCCCCCAAAGGTGGTGGAGGCTGAACCTTTAAATTTAATCAAGGCTTAGTTAGATAGAACTCTTGTTATACAAGGGAGTCAAATATGAGGTGGGGGGCATAGGGAGTAGATAGGTTAGTGGAGCTAAGACCATAGCCAAATCTGCCATAATCTATTGAACAGTGGAGCAGGTTCAGAGGGCTGAATGGCCTACTCCTGCTCCCAGGCCTGATGTTCCTAAACGCTTCCAAAAGTACTTCATTGTCTGTAAAGTGCCTTGACTTGTCCTTGATGTCTGTTTAGGAGGAGTTCCTGATTCTCACTGGCCTTTGTTGAAGAAATATTTCAAGACATTACCACCTCCGCCAGACTTTCCAAAATGACCTGTGAATCCAAAACTGCTGAGAATATTTGTCACCATTGAATTGGGGTTATTTATAATTCTTTACCCAGAAACATCACCAGTCACTGATATTGTCCTCCATTCAAAAGAATGTGCAAACTGGGAAAAAAAACCCTCTAAAACCCAACTAATGCACAAACAGAATAGACACTAACAATTCAATTGGTCACTTACAGAGGGAGGGTTCAAGCCACATCCCAAGATGGTGCTTATTTATATCCCAGCTTTGCAGCAGGAACTTTCCATCTCCTTTTGTTGATCATTACAGCATTTCCTCTGGTGGCTTTCTGTCCTTGCACTGGTTCAGAAGCCTGAGCGTATCGTTTCTATTCAAGCACTGTCGATAGATGGTGTGATGTAATTCTCTTTGTTTAAATTGGAGAATAGGCTGCAGGAGCATTTTTCATCCTTTGATATTACAGCTCAGGCTCTGGAGAGAGCTAAGTGCTTGTTATTACAAATTACAACTCCAGTCTCTGAGGACTGTGCAATCTTTGTTTGTTTATTGTAAGAACTGAGGGCAGGAGTGGGCCATTTAACTCCTTGTGATGATCTTCATCAACAACACTCTTTCAGATGATCTTCGCATTCCCTGATTTCCTTGAAGCCCCTGTCAGTCTTTGTCCTAAATGCACTTGAAGATTGAATGGCACTGCTTTCCAGGTGACAAACACGCAGAAATGCACGACCTTTTGAGTGAAAAATGTGATTAGAATCATTAGGTGCTTGTTTTTGGTGCAGACTCAATGGGCTGAAGGGCTTTTTCTGTGCTGCAGGCCTCTCTGACTCTATGCGCACAATTTGAATCACTCTAAAACAGCCATTCCCTTCTTCAGAAACCATACCCTGTAGTTCCAAACTTTCCAATGTGACAGAAACAGCCTCTCAGTGTCTATCCTGTCAGCTCCCTCTCTCTGTTTCAATAAGATCACCTCTCATTCTTCAAGTCTCAGCCATAGGACTACACTTCATTCCAGAAATCAATCTCGTTAACTTCTGTGATACCACCTTTAAAGGAAGCACGTTCTTCCCTGGCCTAAGGAAACTAAAATGGTACATTGTGCTCCGGGCCTGTTTTCTGTTTCAGTTTAACATTTGCATACATTATGTAATGATCCTGACTGACTGACTGTATGTCTTTTTCAGCCTCACTGACTGTGATCTCAGTAAAAGCTGTCTCTGGGATGGTGACGAGCTCCATTCAGGGCCAGCTTCAGTTCCAGTATCCCATATTCTACGTCATGCTTGTCATTATGATCGCATCTTGTATTTTCCAAGTACAGTAAGTGACTTCAGTAAACAGTTTGTAAAGAGAAGAAAGACTTGTAAAGCCTTTCACAACCTCAGGCTGTCTGGAAGCACTTTATGTAAGGGGATACTTTAGAAGTGTAGTCACTGTTGCAATTTAGGGAGCTGGTGGTGTGGTAGTCATGTCGTTGGACTAATATTTCAGGCTAATGTTTTGCGGCCATGAGTTGAAATCCCACCATGGGAGGTACAATTTGAATTCATTAAAAACCTGGAATAAAAAATAACTACATTCATCGTGATCACTGACAATTATCATAACAAAAATTTGGTTCACTAATGCTCTGCCTTTAGGGAAGGAGATCTGCCATCTTCAACTGGTCTGGCATACATTTGATTTCAGACCCCACAGAGATGCGAGTGACTTTCAACTGCCCTCTGGAAATGGCTAAGGAGCCTCTTGAGGGCAGCTGACAATGCCAATGTTGATTAACAAATGAAAATTTCCAGCTAGTCAGTGCAAGCTCCCATGAATAGCAATGTGAAATAAAAAAAACAAAGTGCTGGAGAAACTCAGCAGATCAGGCAGCATCTGTAGAGAGAGAAAAACAGAATTAATGTTTTGAGTCTGGAATGAACTTTCTTCAGAATGCCAGGAATGTAGTAATGACCAGATCATAAGATAAATATTGGCCAGGAGAGCAGGGAGAATTCCTCTGCTTTTCAACATAGTGCCATGGATTGATTTGGTTTGATTTATTATTGTCACGCGTACCTAGGTACAGTGAAAAGTTTTGTTTTGCATGCAGTACAGGCAGATCATAATATACAAAGATCATAAGGTGATTGAACAGAGCGAGGAATACAAAGTCACAGCTGCAAGGAAGGTTCAAAAAACAAGCTCAACATTAGGTCTGAAATTTGAGAGGTCCATTCAGAAGTCTAATAACAATGGTTGTGCTAAAACTATAACGAACCTTAGTTAGAGCACAAATGGGTGACTGTTTGCTGCTCTGTATCCCAGGATATAGAGCAACAGGAGAGGGCACAGAGAAAATTTACAAGAGTTAAACAGAAATGCAAGTGTGCATGCATCAAGTTGGGTCTCTATTCTCTGAAGAGAAGCTTGTGCAGGGTGACCCAAAGGAGGGAGAAAGCTTCCTCTTTCAGGAAGGATATCACAGAATTGTTACAGTGCAGGAGGCCATTCGGTCCATTGTATATGCACTGTCTCTTCAAATGAGCATAACAAAAGGCCATCAATATAAGAGAGTCTTCCGAAAAGTCCATTTGGGAATCCAGAGACTGTTGGGAATGTGAAACTTGCTACTACAGGGATTGGTGCAAGTGAAGAGCATAGATACATTTATGGGTGAACTAGACTGAAGGAGAAGAGAATGGACTTTTGGGATGATGGACATAGATAAGGACAGATGGAAAATGTAAAACAGAAACACCAACATGGACTGTTTGGGCTGAATGGTCTCTTTCTGTGCTGTATGTTCTGTGAATACAATGCCCTGCATGTTTGCCTAAACTGACCCCACTGAGTTTCCATAGATGAGTGATTGGATTCGAAGCGTAAATTCTGTTTCTCTCCCCACAGATGCTGCCAGACCAATTTCTCCATCAATTTCTGTTTTTGTTTCTGATCTCCAGCATCTGCAGTATTTTGTTATTATTTCATTCATTTTCTAATTGTTTCTCTTAACATTTCTGTCACGGCAGATGTATAAGATGGATATAATTACAGACATACTGTTAGATATAGCTGTTAATGCTAAAGGGATCAAAGAGAATGGGGACAAAGTGGGAACAGAGGACTCAGTAGGATGATCTGCCATGATCATATTGAATGACAGAGCAGGCTCAAAGGGCTGAATGGACTTCTCTTGCTCATTTTTTTTAATGTTTCTCTGTACTATGTGGGACTGCGCCACTTCAGTACCACCCTCTGATGTGGCAGGTAATGTGATTAAAGCACCCCCATTACCTTCCTCTTTCCCCTACCATCCTCCATTTGTTAAAAGTTGCTGATCCATCAAAACCTGTATTTTCAAATGCAGAAACTCCCCTTGCGCAAGACTGAACAGTTTGACCAGGAAAATCCAGTTTGCTGCTCCAGTGTAGTACTGGGGTGTGCCGCACTGCCATAGGTGAAGAGTATTTGGGGCTCAGCCTGGTGTCCAGGCTGGTATATCCCTCATGCTATCTCTGTTTACAAGTTTAAAAGTGATCAGGATATTACCTGCATTGGAATCCGAAGTGTAAAATGGCTGTCGTATTTTCTACATGACCACAAAGTGTCTACGTTTTGAAAGTATTGGGGGTTATTGTGGAAATTAAAAACTGCCTGTCTTCCTGTGTTTTGGAACTCTTAAATGAAATGTTGTGTAGAAAGATCTTTTGGATTATGTGAGCTGAATTTGGAGTTACAAACAACGAAAGTGATTTTATTTTTTTCAGATTCTTGAACCAAGCAATGCGACTCTATAATGCAACAGAAGTGGTGCCAATCAACTTTGTTTTCTTCACAGCTAGTGCCATCATAGCAGGTATGATTACATACCTCTTCTACTTATTGCTGGAGAATCGAACACGGTGCAATTATTGGAGCACTCTCTCAGAATTTCCTTTGTTCACTTTTATTAAGCAATGGAATCGACACTTTGTTCAAACACCCCTTTGTACAGAAAAAGACATGAGGCACGTGCTTCTTTGGAACTATTCATTTTGTCATGCATTGTGTACATTGTTGTAGCACAATCTTTTACAGATATTGTTGTGAGATGTCGCAGGCCGTGTTTGAAAGACTGCAGTATTATAGGAACAGGAAAAGAGCATTCAGTCTCTCAAGCCTGCTATTTCATATTATATTATGGATAACCTGTGTCTGAACTCTATTTACTCTCTGTGGTTTTGAATGCTTTAATACTCTTACCTATTAAAAAAATCTGTCAACCTTAGCTGGTACATTTATAATTGACACTCTCCCCAAAAGAAATGCTTCATCAGCCTCTTAAGGCAGGAAGGCTTCTTAATGGGTGGCACGGTGGCACAGTGGTTAGCACTGCTACTTCACAGCGCCAGGGACCTGGGTTCGATTCCAACCTTGGGTGACTATGCGGAGTTTGCTCATTGTCCCTATGTGTAGACTGTGGGAGGAGCTGGAGGAAAACTGGAGCAAAGATGTGCAGGTTAGGGTGGATTGGCCATGCCCATAGAGTGCAGGGATGTGCAGGCTAGGTGGGTTAGCCATGGTAAATGCAGGGTTACAGGGATAGGGTCTGGCTGGGATGCACTTCAGAGGGTCGGTGCAGACTTGATGGGCCAAGTGGCCTCTATCTGCACTCTAGGGATTCTATGATTCTGTGAGCTCTAGATTTCCACTAGAGAATGAAGTAGTGCTTCCTGATATCAGCCTCTGCCCCTGTCTCATACTTAAGACCATGACATTAGTCATGAACACAGTGTATTATCTGACAGTAACTGCAACCAAAGTGAACATTTCTGAGCCTGTAACTTGCTATTGTACTTAGTTGAAGGGAGTTTTTTTTATGTTTTATTACAGAAATTTATTTCCAGTTAATTCTAGGTTTTCAGCAAATGCTATGTCTGTTAACATCACTGGGAAAAATGTTTCATTTCTTTGAGTTCTCAGCCAGTGATTCTCTCGAACAGAATGCTGCTATTTAGGTGACATTATAATAGAATCATAGATTAATTATAGCGTGGAAGAAGACTATTCAACCCATTGCTTCAGTGCTGGCCCTCCTAAGGAGAAATTCACATATTACCCCTCCCTGCTCTCTCCTCTCATTTCTGAACACTCCTCATCTTTAGATGTGCAGAAAGTGAAGAAAATCTGCTGTGCAGGAGGAGGCCACTCTGCCCATCATCTTTGCGCTGGCCAAAACAATAGAGATTATCGATTTGGCTAATAGCAACACTAAATAGCGACAGAGAAGCATTAATCAGGTAAATAATTGTCTTTATTATGAGACTGTGTTTCTCTCTCTGGTTAAATTACAGCTTTGGGATCATGCCAGGATATTTGCAAGACAAACTGTGGACTAAGTATGCTTTGTTATTCAGAGTTAGCCTGATCTTAGTATCAAGTGTCTGTTGGACCTCTGTCAGCCAGTATGTTACTCATGCACAATGAATGATTAATAGCTGCAGCAAGGAGTGATGGTTTTATCAAGAAGCTGCCAGGCATTTAAGGATCAGCGATTTCTAATATCAGCTTAAATAAAAAACCAACAAGCTCATCATTCAATGGTGCATAGCACATGAGGCCCATTAGAGTTGTGGATTTAGCAGAAATAAAATGAAGGATGAATTGAACTTGTGCAGGGATCAAGTAAATCATGTAAAGGAGAAAGATAAGATTGTATAATTTAAAATTATGAAGGATTTGCTCTGAGTAGAGCAGTGAAGATTAAGGGGAGATATTGTTTCATGGTATTCAAAATCCTAGAGGAATTTTAATCAAGGACACAGATTTAGGATATTTGAAAAAAGAACCAAAGAAAGATGAGGAGAATTATACGTTGCTGTGATCTAGAGTGTGCTGCCTGAAAGCAAAATCAGTGTGAAACTTTGATAAAAGTGTGTGGGCTCAGCACATGTAACATTGGCAAGGCCACAGGTAAAGAACAAGATGAATTGAAATAATCTTCCAAAGATCTATCACAAGACTAAAGACTGTGAATAACACTGTATTCAGTTTGAGAGACAATGTGACGATTGTGTCCCACCGGGAGCCTGTGGTCGAATGATTTTGGTTTGATTTGATTTATTATTGTCACATGTACCAAGGTACAGTGAAAAGTTTTGTTTTGTGTGCAGTACGGACAGATCATACCATACAAAGTTCATAGGGTGATAGAACAGAGTGAGGAATACAATGTTACGGCTGTGAGGTCAACATTAAATTTAAGATTTGAGAGGTCCATTCAGAATAACCGCGGGTAAGAACCTGTTCTTGAATCTGTTGGTACGTGTGTTTAAGCTTTTGTATCTTCTGCCTGATGGAAGAGGTTGGAAGAGATTATAACCAGGGTGGTAGGGGTCTTTGATGATGTTGGCTGCCTTTCCAAGGCAGCAGGAAGTGTGGATGGTGTCAGTGGATGGAAGGTTGGTCTGGGCTGGGTTCACAACTATTTATAGCTTCTTACAGTCCTGGGCAGAGCAGTTGCCATACCAAGCCATGATGCATCTAGATAGAATACTTTCTATGGTGTATCTGTGAACGCTGGTGGGAGACCTTACGGTCATGCCGAATTTCTCACACAAGGTGATTAACTGAGGCTGTAAAGCTGGGATCTTATCCTGAATCTCACTGTCTTGAAGCAAAACCTCCCAATCTAGACGATTGTTTGATAATCTTATAGTTTGGCAACCAACACCTGGGAAGCATGTATTAATTTGCTGGAAATATTTGTAGTACGATTATAAAAAGCTACTTGGTAGCACAGAGTTTGTGAAGTGCTGAAAAAAGCCACAATTGTTGAGGATTGTTGTCTCATCAGGACAATTAGCAAGAATACCAATTCAAGAAGAATGCCACCATTTACACTGCGTGAGAAGAGAATGTTGATTTGTTGACGAATGGACTCTGATTGGTAGAGGTTTTGCTATGGAGAATGCACCAGCTAATAATGATTGACAGTTAACAGCCAGGCTTGTTTAAATTTTCAACCCAGCAAGTTGACTCTGATTAGTCAGGGCATTGCCCTGAGAAGTGAACCAGCAAATGCCTATTGCTTATTTTGTTAAGTAGACACAGTCACAGTGCATTAACACAGTCTTCCTGTCGGCTACGAGCAGGATCCTGTGTACTTCCAGCACATGCAAGTACACCATCCTGTGAGCCTGACTGACAATCCTAAATCGACTGTCAGCATAATTTCTTGCACGTTTAGGATTATCCAGGGACATCCTATTTAATACAGACCGCCAGAGAAATATATTGACAAATGCAAGACACCATTTCAACAAAATATCTTCTTTTCTGCAATACTCAGATACAAATATTTTCTTAATGTGCCTTTCATATTGATGCATAGACACAATTGAATATGAGATACTGTCACAAACCACATCATTCATAATATACTGGAATCAGAGTGATTCAGGACACCAGGGACCATTCAGTCCATCATGCCTCTGCTGTTATTTTTAAATAGGGGTTATAAAATGAACTGTTCTGTTAATCCTCTCACTCAGTGTTTAACCAATTCTGTTTCAAATGTTACTGTTGAAATTTTTAGACGGAGTACTCCAGATCACCACAACTTGCCTCTGTTTCTTTTGCAAGTTGTTTTAACTCAATCTTTCTGCTTACTGCACCTGCATTTTTTTAAAAAACAGTTCGGTCATGAGGTGTGGCTGGGCCAGCATTTTTTGCTCCATCCATAACTGCCCTGGAGAAATTGGTGAGCTGCCTCCTTGAACCTCAGCTATCCTTTGGGGTGTTGGGGCATCGACAGAGCTGTTAAGGAGGGAGTTCCAGATTTTAACCCAGTGACACTGAAGGAACTGTGATGTATGGAACAGCCTCCTCAATGTGTGCCTCCACCTTCAGAGACTTCCTTTATTCATTCACGGGATGTGGACATCACTCGCCAGGCCAGCATTTATTGCCCATCCCTAATTGCCCATTGGGCAGTTATGAGTCAACCACATTGCTGTGGGTCTGGAGTCTCATGTAGGCTAGACCAGGTAAGGATGGCAGTTTCCTTCCCTGAAGGACATTAGTGAACGAGATGGGTTTTTACAACAAACGGCAATAGTTTTATGGTCATCATTAGATTCTTAATTCCACATATTTTTATTGAATTTAAATTCCACCATCTGCCGTGGCGGGATTCGAACCCAGGTCCCCAGGACATTACCTGGATCTCTGGATTAACAGTCCAGCGATAATACCACGAAGCCATTGCCTCCCCTAAATTTGTGTTTGTACATCCCAAATCCCTTAGGTTCCGGATAAAATTGTACATATTGCTTCTTTTCATTCTTCATTCATAGGTATTGTCTTAATCACCATTTATAATACTCTCTCTTTAACAAGTGGAGTGATGGTTGGATATTGCAATCTGCTACAGTCCAAACATATGTTTATGTGAAACTATTTACAATTGGAGGCCATCTGAGAATGTACAGTAAGTTTTTTTTTTAAATTACTGTGAATAATGTATTCATGCATCTAATTATGACTTTTTTTTGCACTGCAGGAGTGATATTTTATCAGGAGTTCCATGGCGCTGCCTTGCTTAATATATTTATGTTCTTATTTGGGTAAGTGATGCGAGTAGCAAATGGTAAGCAAGGTCCCTCACACCCACATTTTACTTCCCCATTTCCTCATGCAGGTCTTGTGTCTTTGTCCCTCAGCTTGTTAATCATAGAATCCCTACAGTGTGGAAACAGGTCCTTTGGCCCAACAAGTCCACACTGACTCTCAGAGCATCCCACCCAGACCCATCCCCCTATAACCCACCTATCCCTCAACACTATGGGCAATTTTCCATGGCCAATCCGCCTAGCCTACACACCTTTTGGACTGTGGGAGGAAACCCACGCAGACACGGGGAGAACGTGCAAACTCCACACAGACAGTTGCTCAAAGGTGGAATCGAACCCGAGTCCCTGGTACTGTAAGGCAGCAGTGCTAACCACTGAGCCACCGTGCAAGTCTGAGTAGGTACTCCTACCAAGTTGATTTTCTAGGCAGGAGATCATAAGAAGTGATTTCATGTGTGAACAGTCCTTCCAAGTTTGGATTGTTTTGCACATATTGAACAGTGTGAAAGGACAGTGTGAGGATGTCGGACAGTTGGAGTGCGTGTTTTGTCTTCAGTGATGTCTTGTTTCAATATTCCTAGGTGCATGCTGTCATTCCTTGGAGTTTTCCTGATAGCCAAAAACAGAGAAAAGCAGACATCCGAAGTCCCGTATATTGACATGGGCCCTGTTCCAAGTATGAACTTTTTCTGTGGTTATTATATTTGTCAGTCCGAGTCATTTTACAAAACATGGGTGAAAAAAGACAAAAAAAAATACTAGCAGTGATTAAGTACAACACAACTTTTAGGTCTTGGAAATATGGCAAAAAATCAAAGTAAACTACATTTTAGCAGTTTTTATTTAGTTTGGAGAGCTGGTGAAATTCAGAGTGATTAAGTTGACTACAATTGCAGGCAATTCCTGACTATGACAAGGCAAAAACACTGATCCACAGCAAAGTGCCACTGTTAGTTATACATCATCGTGTACCCATGGCTGATGATGCCTAAAGGATCCTTCATTGCTGTTTCTCTTTATGCTTCCATGGGATGTGGGCATCATCAGTAAGGCTGGCATTTATTGCCCATCCCTAATTGCCCTGGAGAAGGAAGTCTTCTGGAGTTTTAAAAAACCTCTTGGTACCATTCTGGTAAATCTCCTCCACACACTCTCGATGACCCTTGTATCCTTCCTCAAGTCTGCTGACCAGACCTGGACTCAATTACTCTCGCTGGGGTCTCACTAGAGATTTACAATAGTTCAGCAAAATGTCCTCACTTTGATATTGAATACCTCCCCTGTGAAGCCCCAGATGCCAGAGCTTTCCTTTTTGAACCGCTGCAGTCCATGTGCTGTAGGTTGACCCACAATGCCCTTAGGGAGGGAATCCAGGATTTTGACTCAGCGACAGTGAAGGAACAGTGATATATTTCCAAGTCAGGATGGTGAGTGGTTTGGAGGGGAACTTGCAGGGGGTGGTGTTCCCATGTATCTGCTGCCCTTGTCCTTCGTGATGGAAGTGTTTGTGGATTTGGAAGGTGCTGTCTAACAATCCCTGCTGAATTTTTGCAGTGCATGTGGTACACACTGCTGCAGTGTGAAGGGGGTAGATTTTTGAGAATGTGGTGCCAATCCAGTGGGTTGCTTTGAGCTCAATGGTGGCAAGCTGTTTGAGTGTTGCTGGAGCTGCAGTTATCCAGGCAAGTGGGGAGTATTCCATCACACTCCTGACTTCTGCATCGTAGATGGTGGGCAGGCTTTGGGGAGTCTGGAGGTGAGTTACTCACTGTGGTATTCCTTGCCTCTGACCTGCTCCTGTAGTCACTGTACTTATGTGGCGAGTTTAGATCGGTTTCTTGTCAATGGTTCCCCACAGAGTGTTGATAGTGGGTGACTCAGTGATGGTAATTGCATTGAATATCAAGGGTTGATGGTTAGACTGCCTCTGTATTGGAAATTAGCATTAGGGGTATTTCAGAAGGTAGTTACCAATGAACCACAGTGCTGTGGGTCTGGAGCGACACAGGCCAGAGTGAATAAGAACAGATTTCCTTTCTTGAAGGCCAATAGTGAACCACATTTTTTAACAACAATCGATGGTCATTTCATGGCATCTTTACTGACACTAATAATTTGCGTGAAAATGTTCACACTAGGATGAAAAACCAACTTGATTGTCACAAGTCCATTGAGACTGATTATTTTAAACATGAGATTTGCACTCCCACTGATCAGTTAAAATGAAATACACAAAAAGGATATATTTTAAGACTTCTACTGTAAACTAAAAGTAAATTAATGAAACATTATATGTAACTAATACTTTAAACTACAGAAAAAATAACCTTCATTAGGACAACTGATAGCCAATGCTACATGCTGATATCCAACATGATTACAGTCTTTATAGGTAACAGTCTACAGTCATTCAGAACTGCCACTAGGTTAATGCCTCCTTGTCTTGCTGAATCATAACATCTTGTGAAGGTCCTCTCCCTCAACCTCCTGAGAGTTCTCGAGCTAACTCTCAGCAATAAGGCCCAATTCAGTGATTTCTTCCCCCAGCTTTGCCAAGGCAAATTTTCCAGGTTCTTTAGATTTCCACAGTACGTTTGACCAGAAACCGTCTTCTCTCTTGTGCTCTATCTGGTAATTTCAGAGAGAACATGAATGAGAAAGGTTGAAAGGGATATTGGCCAAACACAGGCAGTGGGACTGGTTTAGTTTGGGGAACTTGGTCGGTATGGACAAGTTGGACCAAGGGATCCATTTATGTCCTTAATGCTCTATGACCAGTAGTCCCTGCTCTCTGCTGACCACATGATGTGCAGCCGTTGTCTCTGTTTTTCTTATCTGTCTCATTTTCTTATCTGTGTGTGTCTCTGTCTGCCTGGATATTGCTCCTGCGGACCCTGTCTTGCTCACTGTATCCTAGTGTTTTTCTCCCGAATGCTGAGGTACAATTCCTGTCCACAAACTGCTTAGCTGTACCTGTCTTTGTTTTTGGGTCTAAATATTTTGCATCTTGCTCTGTACTTACACTTTACAATACACTTTTTAATACTTCTATCTGATTAGATGACCCACACTGTTTTCCCAGTATGCGGTTTCAATTTTAAAACCTTAAATCTGTGTCCCTAGTCCTTGCCGTGCCAGCTAATGGGAACAGCTTCATTTCAATCTGTCACCGTCTTGTCACCTCAACCAAATCTTCTCTCAATCTCCTTCGATCCAAGGTGAACACCCCAGCTTCTCCAATCCAATCTTGTGGAGTTTTAAAAAAAACCTCATGCAACCATTATGGTAAATCTCCTCCACACTCACTCTCTCGATGACCCTCGTATCCTTCCTCAAGTCTGCCGACCAGACCTGGACTCAGTACTCCCACTGGGGCCTCACTAGCAATTTACAATAGTTCAGCAAAATGCCCCTGCTTTGATATTGAATACCTCCCTTGTGAAGCCCCAGATTCCAGAGCTTTGAGAACCGCTCTGTCAATGCATCCCACTATGTTCAAAGATCCAATACAATACAGAAAATCTATATCCTCCCTCACATGCCCAGTCTCCAGATCAGACAAGCCTAGAAGGAGATTTTTTTAATATATTGTTTGAGTTTTCTTTTACTAGGAGGCTGCAGTTCAAGCCCATAAGATAGAGATTTTGGAAGCAAACTGAGGAAAAGCATTGCCATTCCCAAAGGTCGGACATTCCCTTATAGCACTTACCTCACCACAGATGAGTTAACCTGTTCTATTTTCTTGTACAAAGAAAGTAATTGATGCCCTGTTGTGTAGGGACATCTGGTCCCCTGTAGGATTGAGCTAAATGATTTAATAGATGTTTCATTGGGTTTCTATGAGTACACAGAGCTTTGGACAGTTCTCTTGTTCTGGTACAGGTCCTTGTTTACTACAGTCAAACTATGGGAACTGAAAGGAATTTTATCCTGGTAATGTCCACTTTATACATCTATTCATTGCTGGCACAGTGCACCAGTGGCACATTGTGTACCATCTACAAGATGCACTGCAACAATTCACCAAAGCTCCATAAACAGCACCTTCCAAACTCATAACAACTTCCATCTCGAGGGACAATGGGCAGCAGATATATGGGATCACTACACGCTGCAAGGTAACCACCAAGCCACTGACCATCCTGACTTGGAAAATACATTAAAAACCGAGAGAACTGCAGATTCTGTAAATCAGAAACACAAACAGAAGTTGCTGGAAAATCTCAACAGATCTGGCAGCATCCGTGGAGAGAAATCAGAGTTAACGTTTGGTGTCGAGTGACCCTTCCTCAGAATTGGAAAATTTATTGCCATTCCTTCAGTGTCGCTGAATCAAAATTCTGAAACTCCCTCCCTAAGGGCATTGTGTGTCTACCTACAGCACATGGTCTTCAAGAAGGCAGCTCACCACCATCTTCTCAAAGGCAATTGTCAGCAATGCTCACATTCCATGAATGAATAACAAAGAATACTTAGTGCAAGCCCAGTTCTCTGCTTAACTGTGACCAGCATGTTCTATTTCATTCATTGTCGTCTTCCTGTAATCTGTTAGAAACAAGGTCAAGTCTTTGGGAGATTTTTGCAAGAATTCAGTGGCTTCTGACGACTGATAAGGACTGTTGGAAAACGGTACATCATGGCTCACACCAGCACTTGAATTCAGATTGAACATGTCATTAACAAAATGTAGGAGCAAATTACTGCAGATGTACTGAAAACGACAAATGCTGGAGATCACAGCAGGTCAGACAGTATCCATGGAGAGAGAGCAAGCTAACATTTCAAGTCTAGATGACTCTTCATCAGAGCTGACGTGAGTTGATGCCAACTCTCGGACACTTCTTCCTGCTGCAGCCATGGCATGACCCCACATCAGAACATCAAGCCATCTTTGCCAGGTCTGTCACCAACCTCCTGACCTCCGGAGATCCCCCCTCCCCGCCACTGCCTCCTACCTCATAGTCTCCCAACCCTGGACAGCCCGCTTCTACCTCCTTCCCAAAATCCACAAACCAGACTGCCCTAGTATGCCCCCTTGTATCAGTCTGTTCCTGCCCCACCGAGCTCATTTCCACCTACCTTGACTCCATCCTCTCTCCACTTGTCCAGACCCTGCCCACCTACATCCATGATTCCTTTGATGCCCTCCAGCATATTGATGATTTTCAGTTCACTGGCCCTGACTGCCTCCTGTTGACCATGGCTGTCCAATCCCTCTATATCTCCACTCCCCACCAGGATGGTCTGAGAGCTCTCAGCTTCTTACCAACGGCCTGAGCAAACCCCATCCACCACCCTGTCCTTCGCCTGGCTGAACTTGTTCGCTCACTGAACAATTTCTCCTTTAATTCATCTCACTTCTCCCAAGTCAAAGGAGTGGCTGTGGGCACCACATGGGTCCCAGTCATGCTTGCGTCTTTATGGGGTATGTGGAACGACCTTTGTTCCAGTCCTACGCTGGCACCCGTCCCACAATTCTTTTCTCAGTGCATCAACAGCTGCTTTGGTTGCTGCTTCATGCTCCCACCAGGACTTTGAAAAATTTGTTTGTTTTGCCTCCAATTTCCACTCCTCTATAACTTTCACATCATCCATTTCCAACACTTACCTTCTTTTCCTCGACCTCTCTGTCTCCATTTCAGGGAATAAACTGTCCATTGCCTTCCACTACAACGCCACAGATTCCCACAGCTACCTTCGGTACAGCTCGTCACACCTCACGTCCTGCAAGGACTCCATCCCATTCTCCCAGTTCCTTTGCCTATGTTACGTCTGTTCAGACGATGCCACCTTCCAAAACAGTGTGGCTTGCTTCTTCCATACCCGTGGTTTCCCACCCACTGTGGATTACAGGGCCCTCAACCGCATCTGACCTATCACCTGTGCTCCCACCCTTGCCCCTTCCCATCTCTCACAACAGCATGATTGGGTCCCCCGACTCTCACTTTTCATCCCACCAGCAACCGCATTCAAAAGATCATTCTCCGCCATTTCAGACAACTCCAGCAGAACGCCACCACCAAATAAATCTTCCCCTAACTTTCCCTTTTGTATTTCACAGAGATCTTTCACTCCGAGACATCCTAGTCCATTCGATGACTACCAACACCATTCCGCTTCCCCATGGCACCTTCCCATGTAACCACAGAAGGTGCAACACCTGTCCCTTCACCTCCTCCCTGCTCACCATCCAAGGGCCTAAATATTCTTTCCAGGTGAAACAGCATTTCACCTGTACCTCCTCCAATCTTTTGTATTGTATTCGCTGCACCCAATGTGGCCTACTCAACATTGGAGAAACCAAACGCAGACTGGGTGACCGCTTTGCAGAACATTTCCGGTCTGTGTGCAAGCAGGTCCCTGACCTTCCCATATCTGGTCATTTTAACACAGCGTCCTGCTCACATGCCCACGTGTCTGTCCTCAGCGTGTTGCAGTGTTCCAGTTAATCACAGTGCAAACTGGAAAAACAACATCTCATCTTCAACCTAGATAGTTTACAGCCTTCTGGACTTAATATTGAGTTCAACACCTTTAAACTGTGAATCAACTCCCATTTCTTCCTTTACTTTTATCTTTACTTGTTACATTCTCTGTCACCATGTCCTCTTCCCCCTCCCCCACCCCATTGGAACTGTCCTGTCTTTCTAGTCTGGCAGTTAGACACACCATTTTTCTGCCAATCTCACCTTCCAATCACTAATTCTGCACTATCAACATCCTTTCTCCCCCAGCACTCTACCTCCACCACCCCCCCCCCCCCCCCTCCCACCCCCCCCCCCCCCACTATAGCATAAATGCTGCCCTCTCCACACTTAACTTTAGCCCTGATGAAGAGTCATCTAGACTTAAAACGTTAGCTTGCTGTCTCTCCATGGATGCTGTGTGCCTTGCTGTGATCTCCAGCATTTGTTGTTTTCATGTCATCAACAAGGAAGACTTGAATGGCTAGGATAGGTCTGAGATGATCTCCATTATCTCTTTGTCACTACATGATGAAATGGATTACCTGGTTCCTCACAATCTTCAACAAGCCCTGGGCATTGAGAACCCACCCACACCCGCTCCTCCCCGCCTCCACTGCCCCCTCCCCCAGAGGAGGAAATGTGTCAATAGTTGAAGCCTTCAACATTGAACCTTGGGCATGAGGGAGACAAAACAGTGTTACCAACCTGGGAGCTAACTGCATGCACAACTCATCAGAGAGACTTGCTGCAATGTCTGATCTCATTATACCTATACAACAACTGTCGTAACTAAAAAATCTGTTCAATTTGAACTTCTGACCTCTCATCCTCTCCAACACACAGATGGTATACTTCACTTCCAATATCATATGATTCCAGTCACCATAACTCATCTGCCCCTGAAATTTAATTTAGTAAATCTTCTCAACATTTCATACAATTAATTTTTCAAATAGTTTTGTGGATATGTTGTCATTCCAAACCCATCGTTATCCGTTTGCATATTAGGCCTGGGATGTTTTCCTTGGAAGCAGTCCCACACTTTGACAATATTCCCTGACTCTCACATTCCATGCATTTAGCATCAATGAGAATGTATTTGATGACTTAAAAGCGTTATTTGAAAAGTAATGCGATCATTTCCTTGGGTTTCTAAATGTATATTGCACAAGGTAAAGGCAAAGCCCCTGTAGTCCCAGAGGTCCATAGGGCTGTTCTTTCATGAAAGAGATGACCGGTGGTGGTTTAACCTGAGGGTCATCATGCCTCAGGTGAGGGGAGAGGTTGAGAAGGAGTTTCCTTCATGGTAACCTCAGCCAGTGCGAGAATTCAACTCGTGCTATTGGCATCACACTCCATTGCAAACCGGCCATGCAGTATTTGCAAGGCAGATGGCAGAGAGCCAACCACACAGATGAACCTGATAGAAGGACTGTAAAAGCACTTGTATATTTCTCAAAATGACAGAGAGTAGGAAATGAATCTTGCAATCCTGAGCCCATTGCAAGCAGAGGAGAAAATAGGAGTTGCTACGTTATCACTAGATACGGTGAGTGTGACTTTAACTCCAACAGTTTTGTTCTTTCGTGGGATCGAGGCTTTGCTGTCAAGACCAGCATTTATTGCCCATCTGTGACTATTGTTGAACTGATGGGATTATCAGACCATTTCAGAGGACAGTTGGGAGTCACTCACATTGCTGTGAGAATCACATGTAGGCCAGACCAGGCAAGGACAGCAGATTTCCATCTCTAAAGGATATTACTGAAACAGATGAGTTTATTTTCTGATTATCGGTGATGTTTGTCACAGTTACCAGCACCATGACTAAGGTTCAGATTCAATTCCAGATGTAGTAGCTGGATGTAAAATCCAGCAGCTGCCTTGATGGGATTAGAACATATTCCCAGGGTCTGAGCCTGGACCTTTGGACTACAGCTGTCATGGTCACAGTCTCCTCCCTTTCCCTCCCCTACACCCAAACCCCCCCACCCCCACCACCCCACTTCAAGAAGCAATTAAACGCTGAAAAAGTCCCCCTTGTCCTCATGTATCACCCCATTAACCTCCAGATTCTACGTATCATTCTCCGCCACTTCTGCCACCTGCAATCTGACCCCACAACCAAGGATATATTTCCCTCCCCACCCCTATCTGCCTTCCGCAGGGTCCTCTCTCTCCACGACTCCCTTGTCCTCTCCACACTCCCCACTAGCCCCACCACCCCCAGCACCTTCCCCTGCAACCGCAGGAAGTGCTACACCTGCCCCTATACCTTCCCTCTCACCTCCATCCAAGGAACCAAAAAAACCTTCCACCTCAGACAGACGTTCACCTGCACATCCGCCAATGTGGTGTATTGCATCCACTGCTTCCGATGTGGCCTGCTCTACATCGGTGAGACCAAGCAGAGGCTCGGAGACAACTTTGTAGAGCACCTACACTCGGTTCGCGACACCTCGCGAACCACTTCAACTCCCCCTCCCACTCCCTGGGCGACATGTCTATCCTGGGCCTCCTCCAGTGTCACAACGACGCCACCTGGAAACTGGAGGAGCAGCATCTCATATTCCACCTCGGGACCCTACAGCCCAATGGTCTCAATGTGGACTTTACTAGTTTCAAAATCTCCCCACCCCCGGCCTCATCCCATGACCATCCCTCCCTCTCATCCCCGCCTCCTTGACCTGTCTGTCTTCTCTCCCACCTATCCGCTCCTCCTACCTCACTGACCAATCCCCGCCACTGCCTACCTGCACTCACTTATCACCATCCCACCTACCTTCCCCAGCCCCACTCCCCTCTCTGTCTATTTGTTTCAGAGCTCCCTTCCCCCTCCCCATTTCTGAAGAAGGGTCCTGACCCAAAACGTCAGCTTTCCTGTTCCTCTGATGCTGTCTGGCCTGCTGTGTTCCTCCAGCTCCACACTGTGTTATCTCTGACTCCAGCATTGGCAGTTCCTACTATCTCTGATGTACTTAATTATGTCTTTTTTTTCATTTACTTGGCAGAGCAAAGGAACACCGAGAAAATCCAACCAGGGTTGAACAACATCAATTCTTATGGAACTATACATGACGAAGAACAGAATAATGACTCTCCAAGTGAAAATGTAAAATAACCACTAAAACACAGATTGGATTTAATATTCGGGCAAAGCATTAACTGAACTTTAACATCTCATCGAGTTAGATATTTTTAGCATTTTTCCAGCCTGGCCTGGGATCCCTCATTTGACAATATTGTGTCTGAACTCAGCACTGTTGAGCCAGTTGTGGTTCAGTCAGTCCATGCAAGTGTTTACAGTGGAAAATAACACTCCTTTTATAGTTGCCAGTTGTTTTTAAACGTGTGTATCAGATGGTCAGTCTTCCTGACCCTGTTTGATATTGGACCACTAACTTTGAGCTGAAGAGTTCTTTTCTACTTAGATTTCACACGCACCTCTGGACAAATGGACACATGTTTATTCCCAGGTTTAAACAAAGAAACAAGACAGAAATTCTTTCCATTGTTTATTTAATCTGTTGTATAAAATGCACTTAAGGAGATCAGCTCAGCTGCTTCATTCAATGGAAATGCAAGAGGCAAATCAATCAGGAAAAATGTCATCTACACTGGGGAATGATGTTGATTGTTTTAAATAACAAGAACACACTCTCGTACTGTGTTTTCATGACCTCAGGAAATCATAAAACTTAAAGCGCAGGGACAAGGGGACATGAATTTAAGGTTTTCAGCATTAGAATGGGCATGGAATGGGACAGGGAATGTTCTAAGAAGGAAAGATGTTGTTAAACTTGGACAGGTTCAGGAAAAATTTAGAAGGATGCTGCTGATTGGAAGGTTTGAGCTATAGGGAGAGGCTGAATGGACTGGGGCTATTTTCTCTGGAGGCGTCGGAGGCTGAGGGGTAACCTTATAGAAGTTTATAAAATCATGAGGGGCATGGATAGGGTGAATAGCCAAGGCCTTTTCCCCAGGGTAGGGGAGACTAAAACTAGAGGGGCATAGGTTTAAGGTGAGAGGGAAAAGATTTAAAAGGGACCTAAGGGACAACATTTTCGCGCAGAGGGTAGTGTGTATATGGAATGAGCTGCCAGGGGAAGTGGTGGAGGCTGGTACACTTACAACATTTAAAAGGCTTCTGGGTGGGTACATGAATAGGAAGGGTCTAGAGGGATAGGGCCCAAATGCTGGCAAATGGGATTAGATTAATTCAGGATATCTGGTCGGCATGGACGAGTTGGATCGAAGGGTCTATTTCTGTGCTGTACCTCTCTATGACTCTAAGTGGTAATCAGTTGGAAGGTGGTAGAACTGGAGACAGAGATGGTGTTTGTAAAAGGAAATGGGTTGAGCACTTGAAAGAAGTAAATTTGCAGAAGTAGAGTGGCTCTGAATGGATCATTCTGCAGAGGCAGAGAGCATAGACTGGATGGGCCGCATGGCCTCCTGTACCTTAATGACAGTATGATTCTCTAGAAAGTACTTTACATGGCAGCAGTGTTGCACTTCTAACGTAGGACAAGTTACGGTCAATTTGTACATAATGAGATACCACTAACAGGATAGTGATCTGTGACTGAATAGGGTTTGATGATGTTGAGGGAGAAATGAATGCTGGCCAGGACACAGAGGAGCACCCTGGCTCTTTCTGGCTCTCTAGTGGTCTGAGGTCTGAGGATCCCCCAGTAATGCGCTGAATGTCATGTCTCGATTATAGGCTCAAGTCTCTGGAGCAGCATTTCAACCCACAGCATGAAGTACTGTATTACAATATTGCATCATTTATTTTAATATGTAGGAAAGAGTATTTATTTTGGAATTTTTTTTGTTTAAGTATTTACTTAATATTTTTGTCAAATGTTAAATTCCTGCTGTCACTATGAATAAAAAAGATTCCTGTTCTCAAGATATTCTCACCTTCACAAATGCCTTTAAAAAGTTATTAAAAAGAAAACAGAGAATATTTTGTGATGGGTCAGAAATTGGTCAATTCCTTTTCTGGCCCTGATGCATGTGAGTTGCTGCTTTTCCCTTGTTTCTATTTGTATCTCCCTCTGTCTGTCTCTGTCCTTTTCTCTGTCCCCTTTTCTCTCTCTTTCTCTGTGTCTCTTGGTCCCCTTCTCTCTCTTTCTCTGTCTCCCTCTCTCTGTCTCTTCCTGTTCCGCGTGCTCTCTCTCTCTCTGTCCCCACCTTCTCTCTTTCTCTCTCTCAGTTCCTCTGTCCCTCTCTCTGTCTGTGCCTGTCCCTGTCTCTCCTGTATTAATTCTCCTTACCTCTTGATGATTTTCTTGCTGTTCTGCCCAGCTCACTGTGTCTAGGGTTCAAGCTGGCTGGATAGTTTTGTATGATTGGTTGTACATTGTGTTTTCGTGCAGGAGGTGTACAATATGCTATCCACATTCCCATTCCCACGCTTCACCCTCTGCTTCATTCCACCTGATTGTTCCCATTTCCTCCAGTGTCCCTTCATCTTTCCCACAATCCTCTCCTCTTCCAGCCATCACTCCCCCAATCTCATTTTTATATATTAAGTTCAAATTCACCAAGTGTCCCTAAACAGCACCTTTCAAACCCAGGACTACTACCATCACGAACCTCCAAGCCACTCCAACTGAGAGCTAACAAGTATCTTATCTAACCTCCTTGCTTTTGTACTCTGTGCCTTTAGAAAGAGACCATTCAGCCCAACTGGTCCATGTTTACATTCCACATGATCTTCTCTCTCACCTATAAGCATGTCCTTCTATACCTTCATGTGCTTATCCAGCTTATCCTTAAATGCGTCCATACTAAACACTTCAACCATTCACTGTGATATTGAGTTCCAAATTCTCTCCACTCTCTGGGTAAAGAGAGTTCTGTTTTCCCTAATGGATTTCTTGGTGACTATCTTATACTGATACCTCATGTTACACTCTTCCCACAAGAGGAAGCATTCTCTCACTAGCCACCCAATCAAAACCCTTGTAATTTTAAAAACCTCTATTAAGCTATCCCTTAGATAAGAGACCCTGTCCTGATATATAGCTTCACATTTCTAGTCATTACCTTGCTAGACTTTCTCTGCTCCCTCTCCAGTCGCTCTATGTAAGGACCAGAACTGTTTGTATTACCCAAAGGACTGACATTACACTATCACAGCAGGTAATCTGAATCAGGAAATATGCTGTGTTTTTCGTTCTTTCTGTGATCACTTTCATTGATGTCTAAATGTTTATTTGCGTATGATTAACAGGTGTGAAGTGCTTTAAGTCTCTGTTATTGATATATTAATGATATGTCTGATTGACACTTTTATAAAGTTGTAGAAAGAGAAGTTTTGCCAAAAGAAGGTTTGTGAATAATTTTTCTTTCCAAGCAGTTCAATACATATAATTGTTACCACTTGTCTCGTAATAGTATCGGCTAGATGAGTGGAAACAGAAGAGCCATGAGTTGGTATAGAGCTAGAAAGGGACCTTGGAGGTGGGTTTGGGGCATGAGTTTGTAAGAGGGGTTTAAAGATGGTTTTGGAGTGTATAGAGTGTGTGAGCTGACATAAAGACTATAAAGGCATTGAGGGATATGAGTTGGTGCTGAGCTGTGATAAGGAGCACGGGCAGCATGGAAGGGGCATAGGGAAGTGGGTATGAACTTTTGGACAATAGGTTAGGTTTATATTTATTGGAGTTTAGAAGAATAAGGGGTTATTTCATAGAAACCTATCAAATTCTAACTGGATTAGACAGGGTAAATGCAGGAAAGATGCTCCCAATGACCGAGGAGTCCAGAAGCAGGGGGTCACAGTCTAAGGATACAGGGTGGGCCATTAAGGACTGAGATGAGGAGAAATGTCTTCTCCCAAAGACTGGTGAACCTGGGGAATTCACTGCCACAAAAAGTGATTGAGGCCAAAACATTGAATGTTTTCAAGAAGGAGTTAGCTATAGTTCTTAGGGCCAAAGGGACCAAAGGGTTTGGGGGAGAAAGCAGGAACCCGGGAACTGAGTTGGATGATCAGCCATGATCATATTGAATGGAGGAGCAGGCTTGAAAGGCCAAATGGCCTAGTCCTATTCCTTTTTTTTTAATTGAGAACAGCCTCAAGTAGGTAAAGACTGTGCTCATTTTACTATTTTCATAGGGTTCAGAAAGTGTCCTACTGGAATACTCCTGCTCCTTTTTTCTATGTTTGAACTAACCTTTAAAAAGTTAGGCAAATCTAAAGTATAATTCATGAATCTTCAGAGGACCATGAACTGCGCGTCATGGAGAAACTATGCCTGACTCCACAAACATTACGGGGGCAGGGCAGGTAATGAGTCTCCTGACGTTACAACCAGCCACACTGAGAGTGCGAAGTGTTACCTACAGCCTTGTCCCACAGCAGCAAAAACTGTGGGCACCAGGAATGGGGGTGAGAAGCGTAGAATAAAGTCCCATCCCTGGAGCTGTTCGAAATCTTGAGGAAATCCAGGTCTGAGAATAACCTAACCTTGGTTGGATGCAGTTGAAAACAACAAATGCCGGAGATCACAGCGGGTCAGACAGCATCCGTAGAGAGAAAGCAAGCTAACGTTTCGAGTCTAGATGACTCTTCACTCTGTCCATGGATGCTATCTGACCCACTGTGATCTCCAGCATCTGTTGTTTCCTGCATCTGCAGTAATTTCCTTCTACCCAGCTTGGATACAGGTTTATTATAACTTTCAAATTTTATCTCTCTCAAAATAAAACCTGGTGTTTGGTTTGTTTTTTTCTCTAGGGCCTTTATAACCCATGGTGCAATTTTCTGCTTGGTCTTTTAATACTCCTAGTAACCCTCTACCCCTCACCAAGACTCTCACCTTCTAACTTAAAGTTTTTATTAATCCCGTCATGGGATGTGGACATTGCTGGCCTGTATTTATTGCTCGTCCCTAGTTGCCCCTTGAGAAGGTGGTGGTGAGCTGCCTTCTGGAGCCACTGCAGTCCATGTGCTCTGGGTAGACCCACAGTGCCCTTAGGGAGGGAATTCCAGGATTTGACCCAGAAACACTGAAGGAACGGCGATATATTTCCAAGTCAGGGTGGTGAGTTGAAGAGGAAATTGCAGGTAGTGGTGTTCGCATGTATCTGCTGCTCTTTTTACTCTAGATGGAAGTGGTTGTGGGTTTCAAAGGTACTGTTTAAGGATCTTTGGTGAATTTCTGCAGTGCATCTTGTGGATCGTACGCCGTGCTGCTACTGAGCGTTGGTGGTGGAGGGAGTGGGTGCTTGTGGATGTAGTGCCAATCAAGCGGCTGCTTTGTCCTGGATAGTGTCAAGCTTCTTGGGGCTGCACCTACGCAGGCAAGTGGGGAGTATTCCATTACAGTCCTTACTTGTGCCTTGTAGGTGGTGGACAGGCTTTGGGGAGTCAGGTGGTGAGTTACTCACTTCATGATCCCTACCTTCTGCCCTGTTCTCGTAGCCACATATTTATATGGCTAGTCTAGTTCAGTTTCTGATCAGTTGTAACCCCCCAAAGTGTTGCTAGTGGGGGATTCAATGATGATAATGCCATTGAATGTTAGGGGGGTGAATAGTTAGATTTCTCTTGTTGGTGATGTTCAAACCTGGCACTTGTGTGGCATGAAAGTTACTTGGCACTGTCAGCCTAATCCTGGATATTGTCCAGATCTTGTTCTATTCGAACATGGACTGCTTCAGTATCTGAGGAGTTGCAAATGGTACTGAACATTTGGAAGGTGGGGGAGGCGACGGCAGGGGGAGACAATGCCCTAGTGGTATAATTGCTGGACTGTTAATCTAGAGACCCAGATTATGTTCTGGGGGCCCAGGTTCAAATTCTGCCATGGCAGATCGTGGAATTTGAATTCAATAAATATCTGGAATTAAGAATCTAAT